TGGTTCCACAGATTTACAAATGATATTATTTCAATATTAATCACTGGAGAACATACGTATTCAATTGCTTCCTATTATAACACGCAAAGTCCTACCAAATCTGAATATTCTGATGCGCTAGTCGAGGATGGGGACAAATTTGTCAAATCAATTATAGAGTATATTGAATGTATCACGTTCTTTTCATTTTTCGGACCCTTTATAAGGCATTACATTCCAATAATCAAAGACAAAAACAATGCTTATTTAAAGAATCGAGATTATTTGTTTGGCAAATTAGATAAAGTAATAAAGAAGAGGAAAGAAGAGGTCAAAAAAATATCAGTAGATTCAGAAACGAAAATGGATATGCTTACTTCCTTAATCACTGCAAGCACAAATGCAAAAGCTTCAAATGGCGAGGAGTTAAAACCAATAGTTGATGAAGAGATCAGAGGTAATATTTTAGATGCTTTCTTGGGTGGAACAGATACTGTAAGAATTGCTTTATATTTGGTGTTTTTGCTTGTTATCTATTTATTTCTATATGTATTAACTTGTATTTACTTATGTTTAGACTGCAAATTTATTCTGTTTCATAACCTACTTTATTTGTAAAAATCCACATGTAAAACAAAAAATGCTTTCAGAAATTGATCATATTTTACCTAAAACTTCTGATGTATCGTACGAAAGCATCCAAAAACTAAAATATTGTGAAGCCGTAATTAAAGAAGCTTATCGTATGCTGCCAGTAGCACCTTTTTCATTCCGCACTATTAATGAAGATTGTGAAATTGCAGGAATCAAATGGCCTCGTGGGACAAATTTTCTTTTGAACTTTTTAGCGATACATGGTCACCCAGAGTTTTGGCCTGATCCAGAAGTTTTCAATCCGGATAGGTTTTATAATGAAGACCAAGATGATAAAAGTTTGGGCGACAAATCTGCCTTTATAATGTTTGGTGAAGGCAGGCGAATATGTCCTGGAAAAAAATTGGCAAGAGTAGAATTACTTTTATTCATGGTTTTAGTATATAAAAACTATAATGTTGAATTGGTAAATGTGCATGAACCAATAAAAATTCTTACTCTTGCCACTACAAACTGTCAGGAGCTGAAAGTTAGAATTAGTCCTCGAGTTTGATTTATTAATTTAATGTTTAATATTAAGGGTTTTTTCTAGTGATTTTGTTCCACTTATTTTTTTATATTTTTAAGTAACGCTAGGTGCATTCAGGAAATTTATGCATATATGACTAAAAGTTGTAATAAATCTAAATTTGTATTTACAGTCCTAGTATTGCATATAAAAAAATGTAGCTTATATCATTATCAATGCTCAAAGCATTTCTTAAATGAGTGCAAAGGTAATAGCGTAATGGTATAGTATTTCCGCAGAATTGATATGCTGATCGAATAAATCGGGTCATGTGAATACTATGCGATTATATAATGATTAAATCAAATGTCAATGTGTTTAAATAATCAATTGTTCTGCGTTATTTGCCTAGGAGAACAAGGCGAATCCCTTAGCTATCTTGCAATTTACACACAAGAAAATAACGAATGAATGAGAAGGATCTTAATAAATTTAGAAAATCTACATACGGTAGTTACAGAATCAGTTATAAATACTAAGCACCGTATAAACTTCTTGAGGTGTTTCTTTGCACTGCCATTGCTGCTACAGAACAAAAACATAACCACGTGACAATTAATATTTAAAGATTAGTAATCACATTAACAATCATTGTAAACTTTAAATTTTTAGCACCCAAACTTTCTGTGCCAGGTTATGTCGATCATTGTGGCGCAGTAAAATTTAAAACTCGTTACAATTCATTAATGTTATGGTTAGCGTTTAGAATGAAGTAAATATTATGTAGTTAGATAGTAAAATCATTCAAGGAAAACTTTTTGTTAGAGCACTAAAGGTGGTTTCATATACTGATTCTTGAGAAAAAAGCGATTTTGGACAATGAACGTTTGTTTTGAAATTTTCTAATCGTGTTACGTTACACTGATTCTTGAAATCCGGTTTGTGGATCAGAACAATGATCGACATATCCTGGCACAGAAAGTTTGGGTGCAAATACCAGGAACGTAGTTTTGTTTGCATAACGGAGTGTATGGTTACCTGCCATCTAGAATGGTGTAAACAAAATCTTGCATTTGATTGGATAGCGTAATCATCATGATCATATTCACATGTTGTATGTAAGTAATGGTATTAATTTTTTTTTTTTTTTTTTGTCTTGTTAGTTTTGTTACTTTCTTTTTTTTCTTGGGTTTTTTAGACTTCGCTGAACGTTAATTCTTGTGATGTGCGGGAGTTAGATTCTTGCTTCACATGGGAGTTAGATTCTTGTGCCGTATGGTATTGTAAGCACAGATATGAGACTCCCGAGTCAATAGATTTAATAATGGCTAGGCCACGCAAAGTTAATTTTTCATTTTGCATAACCCGGTGTTTCAAAATTCCGGTCGGCGGGTCAGATTTTTTTTTTTCTTTGTTTTTTAAAAAAAAAATAACTTTGCGTGGCCTAAATTATGTTCACATCTAAGGTTATGCAAAGTTAATTCTTCGGTTTGCATAACATGGAATCAGAAAATTTTGAATTTTTTTTTCAGACCTATCGGGTACTTTGGAAAATTAAGGTCATCATCGGGTGACACTGGAGAAAAAATTAATTAGCAAAAATGGAATAATTGGCACAATAGGAATTTAAAAAAAAAAAAAAACATTTTTTTTTTGAAAAAATTAGATTGGCGGGTTATGCAAAATGAAAAATTAACTTTGCGTGGCCCTGACTTAAGTTATTTTGCTTCAACTGAAATATTCCATGTTCCTGGTTCTAGCGCAACTGCGTCACGTGGCTACCCTAATTTTTAATTGTTATGTTACGCAATGTCAGTATTATGGCCTGTTGAGATTTTGGACATCGGAATTTTGCAGTAGAACCAGATATACTGCAGTTGCGGAGTATATCACAAACTGTTCAACACTGCTAATCCCATTTATATTGAATTTTTGGTTGAGAAACGCACTTCATAATCGCGGAATCAGATAATAATTAGGTAATTTTATATAAGGAGTGATTTAAAAATTGAAAAAGGAAATATTATTTGAGTTGCGTCAAGAGAAAACCTGCAAATCTTATAAAATTTGCGGTGGCTGCACTTAAGGTGGGGAATGGGCCAGGCCAAGCCCAGAAATTTCTGGGCCGGGCTAAGCCCGGAAATGTCCGGGCCGGGCTAGGCTTGGGCCTAATTTGGGCCCAAATTTTTGGGCCCGTTAATATTTGGGCCAGGCCGGGTTAGGCCCGTGAAAATATCAGGCCGGGCCTGGGCTTTGTAAACAGGCCCAGACATGCCCAATGGGCCTATTATGATAAAAAGAAACTCATGTTCTACCTGTGATAACCCGTGATCACTAACCAATCAAATTACATAAGAACACATATAATCAATTCTCATATCACCAACTACCTTTGATATGGCAATTCAGATTATAAAAAAAATCTTTTTATAAAAATGTTATTTATGGCTTTTTATATTTTACAACCCAGGAAATTTATTTACTTAAAATTTTTAAGCAACATTTTGTGAAAATTTTAACTTGGGATCGTGCCTTCGAAATATGAATTTAAGGATTTATTACAAAATTCCAACATCCAAAATCCCAGCAATATATAACTCTGACATTCAAAATCCTGACTAAGATAGAATCCTGACAAGTCAAGATCCTGATATTCAAAATCCTGAATAGTCAAAATCCTGACTATCAAAAATGCTGAAGGTCAAGATCTCGATTAAGGTTGTTCTTAAGCAGCTTCCTTGATGTAATTTGCAAGTAATCGAGATGCTGCTCAATAATTTCGATTAATTGAACTTAATTGATCTCTGTAACAATTTTCTAAAAATTTATTGTGCGAAATGTAGATTTTAAATTCAGCCAACTGGTGCAACTTTGAAAAAAAGATAGTTGTTAGCTCTAGGTTTTTTTGATCGAAATGATTAAACACGATTTATTTTTTTAGCCAATTGGATCACTTTATCGATCATAGAGAGAGTGCTTGAGAACAACCTAAGGCAAAATCCCAATAGTTTAAAATTCTGAAATAGTCAAGATCCCAAATAAGTAATTCAGCATTCAAGTGGTACAACTTCTCACAGCAAACTTCTGCTATTACAAAACATTATTGGTTCTATTCCAGATTTATCCATAATAAATATTGCTCATCTGAACAGTAATTGGGAAAAAGGTTGTTTATTAAAATAGAATTTAGATAAAGACAAGGTTTGTTTG